ATCACTTGGGCTGTTGGAGGGTTCAGAGGAATTCACAGCGTTTATATTCATTACTTCAGAGAATTCACACTTTCCTGGAATTTCCTATCGAATGGTTCAGAGACCCCATCAAACACACCATCAAATAATAATAATAATAATAATTGCATTTAATATAGCGCTTTTCACGTTGGGAGGACATCCCAAAGTGCTTCACAGAATGCACTGTAAAGTGAATTGACTGTATATTTGTGGGCGAACGCGGCAGCCAATTGCGCAGAGCAATGTCCCACAAACAGTCGTGGATTGAAAATGACCAATTTATTATTGTTTTGGGTTTTGGAGGATTATTATTAGGCTCTGTGTGGAGTGAGGAAACTGCCCCGAGGTTTGGCCCTGACTGACCCCCCGGGGACTGGACTCAGGTCTCTCACTCGCAAAGCGAGTGCTCTAACCACTGAGCCACAGGACTCCAAATCAGATCACAACAACAACAAGATTCCATTTATTGAGCGCCTTTCACGTCGGGAGGACGTCCCACAGTTGGGTCAGGACCCGAGCAATGGGGAAATGGTCAGGGTGAGGGGAGGGAAGGGAGGGAGCGAGGAGGGGGTAGAGAGTCGAGAGGGGAGCTGAAGGCTGAAGGTCAAAGAGAAAGGTCTTGAGACCGGCCTTGAAGGAGGAAAGGGAGGAAGCGGCGAAGGCACTGGGGATAGAGTTCCAGAGCCTCGGGGCTGAGAGGCTGAAGGCGAATCCCAGCAACCCCGAACAAGATCCAGGAAACCGGAACCATCCCCAACAACCCCGATTCAGTCCCAGCAATACCGAACAAACCGCAGCAAGTCCGAACCAGCCCCAGCAACCCCGAGCCAGCTCCATTGTGGATATGAAAACATAGTGACTGTCAGATGTGTGCTCGCGTCTCTCTAAACTCCCTTCAGGAAACATTGTGTACCTGATAACATCACATGCTCAGCAATATCGCAGCCTCACTCTCACTACTTTGGGCTTCCAATGTGGATAAGCAGCTTTCTAATTCAATTTAAATAGGGAGATGACACAGCCACACCTCGTGCACATGCTCACACCTCCCACCCGGGGTCACTGTGTATACAGCAAAGTCTCGGGCAGTACGAGTTGTGCAGCTGTCAGTGTTGCTGGACTTGAGAGTAATTACCGGTGAAACCCAAAGGTTCAAGGCTCAATAAAATTCAAGTTCTTCCTGTATCTCTCTGGCAGACCAGTTAGTTTCAGGGCTCAGAGTTTCAGGGCTCAGAGTTTCAGGGCTCAGACCGTAACCCTAACCTTAACCCCAAAGCTCTTAGCCCCGAAACTCTTAGCCCCGAAACTCTTAGCCCCGAAACTCTTAATGTATTCTCTCTCTCTCCCACATACTGACTATCTCTCTCTCACATTGACGGTACATGAGGGAGAAAGGAATAGAAGGTTCTGCTTTAAGGCTGAGTTGAGAACAGGCAGTAGGAGGCATTGACCAGTTGGGCCGAATGGCCTCTTTCTGTCCTGCAAATTCTCATGGATTTTGATCCAAATAATCAAACATTATTTAATATAAACTAATATATTATTTGCGCAAGAAAAAAACATCAGGGAAACAACAAAGATTTAAAGAAAAAAGTATTTAATTAAAAGAACAATTATTTGAGACGAGCAGCACTGTGTCTGTGTCTTCGTGTGTGTTCCTGTATGTGTGTGTGTGAGGGGGGGGGGAGAGTAACTTGCCTAAGGTTTCGCCCTGTCCTGTTCCACCCGGGAATCAAACCCGGGTCCTCTGGCTTGCGAGGCGAGGGGTCTAACCCCTGAGCTACAGGGGCTGTGGGGTGCGAGGCGAGGGGTCTAACCCCTGAGCTACAGGGGCTGTGGGGTGCGAGGCGAGGGGTCTCACCCCTGAGCTACAGGGGCTGTGGGGTGCGAGGCGAGGGGTCTAACCCCTGAGCTACAGGGGACTGTGGGGTGCGAGGCGAGGGGTCTAACCCCTGAGCTACAGGGGCTGTGGGGTGCGAGGGCGAGGGGTCTAACCCCTGAGCTACAGGGGCTGTGGGGTGCGAGGGGAGGGGTCTAACCCCTGAGCTACAGGGGCTGTGGGGTGGAGGGGAGGGGTCTAACCCCTGAGCTACAGGGGCTGTGGGGTGCGAGGGAGGGGTCTAACCCTGAGCTACAGGGGCTGTGGGGTGCGAGGGGAGGGGTCTAACCCCTGAGCTACAGGGGCTGTGGGTGCGAGGCGAGGGGTCTAAACCCCCTGAGCTACAGGGGCTGTGGGGTGCGAGGCGAGGGGTCTAACCCCTGAGCTACAGGGGCTGTGGGGTGGGGGGCGAGGGGTCTAACCCCTGAGCTACAGGGGCTGTGGGGTGCGAGGGAGGGGTCTAACCCCTGAGCTACAGGGGCTGTGGGGTGCGAGGCGAGGGTCTAACCCTGAGCTACAGGGCTGTGGGTGGGGCGAGGGTCTAACCCTGAGCTACAGGGCTGTGGTGGGGCGAGGGTCTAACCCTGAGCTACAGGGCTGTGGGTGTGGGGCGAGGGTCTAACCCCTGAGCTACAGGGGCTGTGGGGTGGGGGGCGAGGGATACAGGGACTGACATGGACACAGACATTTCGAAGGTAATTTGGGGATTAAAATGCTTCCGTCTCGTTCTCAAAAACACTCGTTGCCTGAAATCTCACTCGCCCCGAAATCGTGTATTCTGACTCCTGTCAATCAAAGCAAATCACACAAAAATGGTCAGAAATGTCACCTCCATTTCCTCTCTCTCTCTCTCCTCTCTCTCTCTCTCTCTCCATCTCTCTGTTTATCTGTCTCTTTCTCACACCCTCTCTCTGTTTTGTGTCTCTCTCACCCTGTATTTCTGTTTGTGGTCCTCTATCTCTCACTCCCTCTCTCTGTCTCTCTCTCACACTCCCTCTCTGTGTTTTTGTCTCTCTCTTACTTTGTCTCTCTGATTATTTTTTCTCTCTCTCACTCCCTCTCTCTGTTTGTGTCTCTCTCTCCCTCTTTCTCTGTGTCTCTCTCTCTCTCTCTCTCTCTCGCCATCTCTCTGTTTATCTGTCTCTCTCAGTTCACTCTCTCTTTCTCTCTCTTTCTGTCAGTCTATCTTTCTATCTCTGGCTCTGTCTCTCTCTCTCTGTGTCCCCGTCACCTTCTACTCAGTCTCTGTCTCTCCATCTCTCTCCGTCGCTCTCACTCAGTTTCTCTCAGTGTACCGCTCGCTCCCTCTCTTTCTCAGTCTCTTTCACGCTCTCTCTATCTCTCCGGCTGATCACGGTGGCGGGTTTCCGTGTGTGCACTCGTGTGTGTGTCTGAGTGTGTGTCTGTGTTTCTGTGTGTATGTTTGTGGGTGTCTGTTGTGGTGTGTTGTTCTGTATGTGCGTGTTTGTATGGTGTGTGGTGTGTATGGTATGCGTGTATGTGCGTGTGTATGTGGTGGGTATGCGTGTGTATGTGTGGCGTGTGTATGTGGTGCGTGTATGTGTGGCGTGTATGTGCGTGTGTATGCGTGTGCGTGTACGTGCGTGTGTATATGTGCGTGCATGTGCGTGTGTATGTGTGTGCGTGTATGTGCGTGTGAATTGTGTGTGCGTGTATGTGCGTGTGTATGTGTGTGCGTGTATGTGCGTGTGTATGTGTGTAGTGTATGTGCGTGTGTATTGTGTGCGTGTATGTGCGTGTGTATGTGTATGCGTGTATGTGCCTGTGTATGTGTATGCGTGTATGTGCGTGTGTATGTGTGTGCGTGTATGTGCGTGTGTATGTGTGTGCGTGTATGTGCGTGTGTATGTGTGTGCGTGTATGTGCGTGTGTATGTGTGTGCGTGTATGTGCGTGTGTATGTGTGTGCGTGTATGTGCGTGTGTATGTTACCAGGACTGGGGGGACATCGATGGCAGAAGCTGTTAAATGAAACACAAAGGAAAATGTGTTTAGGATCTCACACTCTCTGTCTCTCTCCCGCGTGTGTATGTGAGCAAGCAGCGCTACATGTGTGTGTGATGTGTGTGCTGTGTGCGTGTGAGTGCGAGGTGCTGTGCGTGTGTGAGTGAACGGCTCTGTGTGTGTGTGTTGTGTGTGTCTGTGTGTTGTGTGTGTTGTGTGTGTGTGTGTCTGTGTGTGGCTGTTGTGTGTGTTGTGTGTGTGTGGGTTGTGTGTGGTGTGTGTGTCTATGTGTGTGTGTGTGTTGTGTGTGGTGAGCGTGTCTGTGTGTGTGGTGTGTGTGTTGTGTGTGTATTGTGTGCGTGTGTGTGTGTGTGTGATGTGTTATGTGTGGTGTGTTGTGTGTGTCTGTGTGTGTGGCTGTTGTGTGTGTGTTGTGTGTGTGTGTGGCTGTTGTGTGTGTGTGGTGTGTGTGTCTGTGTGTTGTGTGGTGTGTTGTGTGTGTGTGTGTGTGTGTGTGTGTGTGTTGTGTGTGTCTGTGTATGTTGGCTGTTGTGTGTGTGTGGTGTGTTGTGTGTGCCTGTGTGTGTGTGTCTGTGTGTTGTGTGTGTTGTGTGTGTGTGTGTTGTCGTGTGTGTGTGGTTGTGTGTGTGTGTGTGTGTGTCGATGTGTAGCTTGTCGTGTGTGTCGGTGTGTCGTGGTGTGTGTGTGTGTGTGTTGTGTGTGTGTGTGGTGTGTTGTGTGTGTGTGTGTGTGTGGTGTGTTGTGTGTGTGTGTTGTGTGTGGTGTGTGGTGTGTGTGTGTGTGTGTGTTGTGTGTGTGTGGTGTGTGTGTGTGTGTGTTGTGTGTGTGTGTGTCTGTGTGTTGTGTGTGTTGTGTGTGTGTGGTGTGTTGTGTGTGTGTGTTGTGTGTTGTGTGTGTGTGTCTGTGTGTTGTGTGTGTGTGTTGTGTGTTGTGTGTGTGGTGCGTGTGTGAGTGACTTACTTTTCTTGTTCCTGTGCACTGTGACGGTCACCAGGACAATTAGAAGCACAACCGCAACCGGTAACAGTATAAACAACAGGTAATGAGGGGTTAATCCACCTGAACAACAACAATAATAACAACAATAATAACAATAATAATAAATAACAACAATAATAAATAACAACAATAATAATAAATAACAATAATAATAAATAACAACAATAATAAATAACAATAATAATAAATAACAACAATAATAAATAATAACAACAATAATAAATAACAACAATAATAAATAATAACAACAATAATAAATAACAACAATAATTAATAATTAACAATAATTATTAACATTATTAATGACACACACAGACACACAGATACACACTCACAGACACACACACAGACAAACACAGTCACACACACAGGCACACATACTCACACACACTCACACGCAGAAAGACACAGACACACATACAGACACATACAGAGACACACAGGCAAACAGACACACACACATACAGACGCACAAACATACAGACACACACATACAGATACTTACAAAGACACACTTACAGAAACACACAGACACACACAGACACATACGTGCGCACACACACACACACACACACACAGACACACACACAGACACACAGACAAACACACACACACACACAGACACACACACAAACACACACAGACACACACAAACACACACACACACAGACACACACACACAGACACACACACACACACACACACACAGACACACACAGACACACAGACACACACACACACACACACAGACACACACACAAACACACACAGACACACACACACACACAGACACACAGACACACACACACACAGACACACACACACACACAGACACACACACACAGACACACACACACACACAGACACACACACAGACACACAGACACACACACACACACACACAGACACACACACACACACAGACACACACACACAGACACACACACAGACACACAGACACAGACACACACACACACACACACACACAAAAGACACACAAAATAAGATAACCTTTACCTCCCACAGAATTCTCCTTCGGACAGACAACCATCGGGACCTGAATGTCCGCTTGTCCTCGTCCGACTGTGTTTGTGGCCTCACACCTGAAGGTGCTGTTTACGGAGATATCGACCGCGTTCAGAAACACGCGATCAGAATCCACTCGGACGGATTTGGGTAAATCTCCCCCCAACCTGAGCACAGAGAAATATCAGCGATAACAACGGCGGAAACGAGAAAAATCATCAATTCTACACACACACACACACACACCCGGAGCCTCTCACTCTCACTCTCACTCCATCCCCCGAGTCTCTCTCCCTCTCCCTCTCCCTCTCCCTCTCCCTCTCACTCCATCCCCGAGTCTCTCTCCCTCTCCCTCTCCCTCTCACACTCACTCCATCCCCGAGTCTCTCTCCCTCTCCCTCTCACACTCACTCCATCCCCCGTGAGTCCTCTCTCCCTCTCCCTCTCCCTCTCACTCTCACTCTCACTCTCACTCCATCCCCCGAGTCTCTCTCCCTCTCACACTCACTCCATCCCCCGAGTCTCTCTCCCTCTCCCTCTCACACTCACTCCATCCCCCGAGTCTCTCTCCCTCTCCCTCTCACACTCACTCTCACTCTCACTCCATCCCCGAGTCTCTCTCACTCTCACTCTCACTCCATCCCCCGAGTCTCTCTCCCTCTCCTCTTACTCTCACTCCATCCCCCGAGTCTCTCTCCCTCTCACTCTCACTCTCACTCCATCCCCCGAGTCTCTCTCCCTCTCCCTCTCACTCTCACTCTCACTCTCACTCCATCCCCCGAGTCTCTCTCACTCTCCCTCTCACACTCACTCCATCCCCTGAGTCTCTCTCCCTCTCCCTCTCACTCTCACTCTCACTCCATCCCTCACTCCCCCGAGTCTCTCTCCCTCTCCCTCTCACTCTCACTCTCACTCCATCCCCGAGTCTCTCTCCCTCTCCCTCTCACACCTGTGATTCCCTGTGTGTGAGTTAGTGTGACACTGTGTGTGTGTGTTAGTGTGACACTGTGTGTGTGTTAGTGTGACACTGTGTGTGTGTGACACTGTGTGTGTGAGACACTGTGTGTGTGTTAGTGTGACACTGTGTGTGTGTGTGACACTGTGTGTTAGTGTGACACTGTGTGTGTGTGTGTGACACTGTGTGTGAGTGTGGACACTGTGTGTGTGTGTGTGACACTGTGTGTGTGTTAGTGTGACACTGTGTGTGTGTTAGTGTGACACTGTGTGACAGAAACACTGACTTACACACTCCAGGTGAAGACGGACGGAGTTGGGTTTCCATCGGCCAAACAGTGCAAAACTACACTCGAATTTCCCTCCAATTTCTTGATTGAAACAATCGGAGAATCTGTCGACAGAAACTTAACATTAATTATACCCATAAGTGTGTCTGTGTGGGGGGGGGGGGGGGTATCTGTGTGTGTGGGGGGGTATGTGTGTGGGTATGTGTGTGTGGGTGTGTGGGGGGGTATGTGTGTGGGGGTATGTGTGTGTGGGTGTGTGGGGGGTATGTGTGTGTGGGTGTGTGGGAGGGGGGTGTCTGTGTGTGTGGGTATGTATGTGTGGGGGGGTGTGTGTGTGGTGTGTGCG